TGGGTGAAGGGAAATATAAATTGTTAAAATGAAGGGACATATCCCCTCGCAAGGGGAGATAATCAAGAAAAGACAAAAATAGGGTTGGGTCATTAAAAAACCTTCTTCTCAAGAACTACTGGGCCAGTAAAGCTGAAACTTATGTGGAAGCATCCTGGGGTAGTGTAGATTCTAAATTGTCCAAATCATGACCCCCGGGGGAAGGGCGGGGCCACAATGGGGAATCAAAGTTTTATATAGAAATATATAGGAAAAATCTTTGAAAATCTTCTTCTCAAGAACCACGGGGCCAGAAAAGCTGAAACGTATGTGGAAGCATCCTGGTATAATGTAGATTCTAAATTGTTCAAATAATGACCCCCGGGGGAAGGATGGGGCCACAATGGGGAATCAAAGTTTTATATAGAAATATATAGGAAAAATCTTTGAAAATCTTCTTCTCAAGAACCACTGGGCCAGAAAAGCTGAAACTTATGTGGAAGCATCCTAGTATAATGTAGATTCTAAATTGTTCAAATCATGACCCCCGGGGGAAGGGCGGGGCCACAATGGGGTATCAAAGTTTTACATAGACATACATAGGAAAAAGTTTTGAAAATCTTCTTCTCAAGAACCACTGGGCCAGAAAAAGTGAAGTTTATGTGGAAGCATTCTGGGGTAATGTTAATTCTAAATTTTAGGTATAATGACCTCCGGGGGAAGGCCGGGGCCATTATAGGGGAATCAAAGTTTTACATAGAAATATATAGGAAAAATCTTTGAAAATCTTCTTCTCAGGAACCACTGGGCCAAAAAAGCTGAAACATATGTACCCATGGAAGGATCATGGGGTAGTGTAGATTTCAAAATGTCTAAATTATGATCAGTGGGGTAGGGTGGGGATATATTATGTATAACAAGAGGGAAATCTGGTAAAGAACAGAATGGTCAAAGCTTCTCAGGTGAGCGATGTGGCCCATGGGCCTCTTATTTTTTTTTTTCAACATGATCAAGCCATTATGCTCAGTTGAGTGATGTTGCCCATGGGCCTCTTGTTTGTTTTTAAGTTGTTATTATTTGGGAAACCAATGAAAACACTCCACAACACTCCATATGTAACTAAAATTACTCCACAATAATTTGTGAAGATATAGGGAAACAAAATTTTAATTACCTGTATAGACTGTAAATGTGAATGTTTGTTTTTGTATTTTTATTAAATTTATGTTTTTAATCCTCAGCTTGATAAAAGAGATATGTTGCCACTAAATGATGTGGTGAAAAAAAGATATCTTTCAATAAATTACAGAATTCCTTTTATTACAGTGGCTGATGATGACTCAACATTGAAGAAATTTATCAGGATAAACACTGAAGAATTGAAACCAGACCCGAGCAGTGCATTTGACATCTCCGATACAAATGAAAATGAAGACAATTTGGAAGTAAAAAGTCCTGATAAAGACACTGAGGTAATTGACAGCAGAGATGTAAAGAGGGAAAGGAATGATGAGGTGTCCAGTTCTCCAGTTGAAGGCAAAGACGAACAGAAAGAAGAGAATATCGAAATGTCCAGGTCACTAACTGAAGGCAAAGAAGAAAATAAAGAAGAGAATCTGGAAAAGTCTATGTCCCCGAGTGAAGGCGAAGAAGAAGAGAATACAGTAGAAATAATGGCCAGTGTTCTCTCCTCAAAGGCACAAGCAATGGTAAAGGATGAAATTTTTGAAAAAATCCTGTATGAAAAAGAAAAGTTACCAACAGTAAGCATGCTGGACTTTGCTGGTCAGTTAGCGTATTATGCTTGCCATCAAATTTACGTAACACCAAAAGCCTTCTTCATCCTTGTGTTGGACATGACTAAAAGGTTTGAAGATGTCAGTAAAGACAAAGATAATCAGGAAGGATCAATTTTCTCTGTGTGGACTTACAAAGGTAAGACAGGAAAAGTGATATCAAAATATTAAAAAGTAAGACATAATGTCATAATATCAAGTAGCTGCAGAACTGTAGCTCTCTGATAAACCAGAGAGCTACAGATCCAAGCGTTGTAAAAACCTTCGATTTACGCCGACGATTTTTTGTCGCTACTTTAGGTATTTATTTCTATTTATTTCGTGTAGTTTAATCTTTGTCATGCTTTTAGAATGGTATCCTATAATAGTTCATGTATTTTAACTCTTATATTTGACCTTTGTTTACCTTTTAACGGTCCAAAACTGCCCTGTATAATGTATATAGCTTTGTAATGTCGGTTTAAAAGAGTTCCATTTTGACGTCGGTAACCACAAATTAACATCCATTTGCATGATTTGTTAGCGTCGAAAGGTAAGTAAATGAACAGAAATTAGAAGTTGAATGTATGATTAATTATTAAGTATCATTTAAAATCATTTCCAAAACTTGGGAAAGTATAAAATACACGAAAAAAATACCCATAGTGAGCGACGAAAAATCGTCGGCGTAATCATGGTAAATCGAAGGTTTTTACAACGCTTGGATCTGTAGCTCTCTGCTTTATCTATCCAAATTTTCTCAAGCAGAGAGCTACAGTTCTGCAGCTAGATATCAAGACTTAAAAGGTACAATTATATAATGTTGTGATACTCAAGTATTTTGATTTACATACAGGTAAACTTCGTCATCTCGACATCGCCGGGACCATAGGAAAATGTCGAGATATCCGGGGTGTCGAGATATCAGAGTTGAGACTCGACATCCAGGATTTCCACTGTGTAGGAAGATAGACAAGTTTTTTCACGTGTATGATCAATCGTTAGTACTTCGTCCTATTTCGACAATCCCTCTATTATTATTACATTTTGTTGACTTTGTATATATAATCATTCAAAATATTATGAAATATTTATATTCCGTAATAAAGGTACTTGAAAATAAGCACATGACATTCTTTCCAGAATTATAACTTCTTTTCCTGTGAACAAGAACGTGTTTCAATTCATAACAGGATATTCTTAGTGCAGTATAAATGCAAAACCATTCAGCACGGACTTTACTAAGATGAAAAAAGAATTTTTTTTTTTAATTTATTTTACGACATAAACAAGACAAGAAAGTACATTTTCAATAGCAAAGCACAACTGTTAAAATCAACATTTAAAATGTTACGTAAAAAACATAAGAAAAACTTTAATTTATGTTTAAAAACAGAATGAATGCACTAGTCAGCACTATATCAAAGTCTTTTAGGAAAAATCACAAGTTTAAAACACAGAATCAATGCACTAGTCAGCCCAATATCACTAAGTCTTTTAGAAAATCACTTTTTCAATGAATATCACGTTCAGCAACACAGTAATACGCTGCTGAATTTTCTGCAGTGTGGGAAGTAGGTCACTTGTGTTTTCGGTCATCTCTGCCCAGGTGCAGATGAGTTCAACTGCACTTGAAACTGCTTTCATAGGTGGCTTTTTGACTGGTGGTGCCTGTACGTCGTCTTCGTCATCTTCACCGGCGTCCTCGTCACAGTTTCTTCCCGCCGAAAGGATATTTTCTACAATCGCAGCGTCTGTAGTGGCCTCAGATGTCTCTAGGTTGTCATCAACTCCAGCATACTCATCAAGGGGAATTCTCAAGCGGAGGGCAGCCAATGGGATGTCATCGTCAGGGTCTTCATCTTCGGACACGGCCTCTTCTTCGGGTGCACTGGTGAAGTTGGCATGTCGAAAACAATTCTGAATTGTTTTTTCCGAGACTTTTGCCCAGGCTTGATTGAGCATACGCATAGCGTCAAGGACACTAATAGTGAGCTCTGTCTGATTTTCAATTGCTTTCAGCTGCCTCAGAATGACCAGTTTCCTGTAATGGACTTTCAGGTTTTGAATAATGCCCTGGTCCATTGGCTGAGTTTTGCTGGTTGTGTTAGGGGGCAAGAAAATCAGACTGACAGCTTTAAGTCCCGTTACTTTGGGATGCGCTGGGCAGTTGTCCACTACCAAGGCAACCTTTCTCCCTTGATAGTGGAACTTCCTGTCAAGTTTACGAACCCAGTTCGTAAAAAGCTCTGAAGTTATCCAGGCTTTACTGTTCGCTTCGTATGATGTTGGTAAACTTTTCACGTTTTTGAAGCATCTAGGGTTTTTTGCCTTCCCTATGACCAGCAAAGGCAACTTGTCTGAACCAGACATGTTCGCACAAGCGAGCACAGTTAGCCTATCTTTGCTGCTTTTGCCCCCGTGGCAGTCTACACATTTAAACTCTAAAGTTTTATCAGGTAGTAGACGAAAGAACAAGCCTGTTTCGTCAGCATTGTATATGTCAGATGGACTGTATTTGTCAAGAAGGGTTTTCAAATTTAAAGACTACTCTGTCATAGCGTTTCTCTTCTCATTTACGGAGTTTGACTCCCCACACACACGTTTGAAAGTTATAGCATGACGTTCTTTGAATCTATCCAGCCAACCCGTGGAGCATTTAAACTGTGTGTCGCCGAGCTGGGTAGCAAATTCCTCAGACTTTGCCATTAGAAGGGGACCAGATACGGGAATGTTCTTATCTCGGGCGGCCTTAAACCATTGTAGGACTGCCTGTTCCGTATTTTCATACGTTGCTTTTCGCATTTTCTTGCGCTGAGGTCCAAAACTGCTTTCTTCATAGGCCAGTTAAATTTTTTCGGCATTTTTTAGCCACGTAGACAGGGTGTTGTGGGGGACTTCGTACTTCTTGGCTTTAGACAGCTAACTTCTTTCAACTTCAGTTAACTTTGTTTCAATAGAATGGACTTTAAGTTTTTGTTTAACACCACCAGATAATCCAACTATCCCCCCGGGTTTCATTGAATTGCTTATTTGGCTTGTGTTGAGACATGGTGCATACTGATGGCCTAAACCATGATTTCCTTTTTATAAGTAAAGTCAAAATTTTTATTGTTTAATTTCTTGAATCTATTTTCACTTTGATGTTACCTAAATCACATTGTAAATTTCTTAGCGTGCATCATTATGTGCATTATGCTTTTCGATGAGGGTTTGTGTGTTTACATTAATATAATCATGTATGCATTTTCATTAAGTACCCAAGCTGTTAAGGTCAATTATCGTGTCATCGATGTCTGAGTACGCTTGGGATTAATTGATTTTGAATAAACATGGACAAGAGTCTAATTAAAAAATAAATAGCTTACGTGTAGAAGGTGTGAAAATCAGACAGCGTCGAGATTCACAGGGTTATCCGTGCACGACGAGCGAGCATTCTGGGCACTGTTATGTTCACTGAAGCGGAAAATTGCCCTGACGTCAACATAAACCAGTGTGGCAACGCACTTTGAAAAAATTACGCACTTTGAAAAATTTTTTCAAAGTGCGTTAATTTTTGGGACCAGGTTAACGCACTTTGAAAAAAATTTTGTTTTTTCAAAGTGCGTTAATATCGACCATATTAACGCACTTTGAAAAAAAAAAATTCTGCATGGCTTAGTCAATATTCCTACAAATCTAAGGTATGATAAATTGTCATTTGAACCTGCTTTGATACTTTTTGTCCCCCGCTTGAAAAGTGGGGGATATTAATTTGGGTCTATCTGTCCGTCTAGCTGTCCGTCCATCCGTCTTTCAGTAACGCTTTCGTTTCCACATGATATCTCGACAACCCTTTGAGTTTTTGCAATGAAATTTTAAAAAAAATTTCAAAGTGCGTAATTTTTCAAAGTGTGTTGTAACAGTGCTTATACTGTATTTAAAATGCTCCTTTTTTTTCAAATATCATTGACACTTAAGGATAAATATCACAAACAAACTTTTTTCAGAGATCAGCATTATTTATCAAAGATATGCATTTAAATTTACAACCGGAATAATGTTTAACAAGTAGAATGGGAGAATTTTATTAGATTTTTTCATAAAGTTAAAAAATTGTGCAAAATTTTGTATAGAATTATAAAGGAGGCAAAATAAAATCTCAAATCTAAGCAAGGAAAACCTATTTCTTTTTATTTCAGGGATTTATTATCTATATCAATACAAATCAAAATTAGTCAAAAAATATATATCAACCCGCGCATCCATTTTTTGTTTGTGGTAAGTACCCTTAAGGTTACGAGTTAAAGAAATAGATATATCTGGGTGGGAATGATAAAGAGTTGAGCTGATAGACCTTAATTCAGCCAGTCTTTTCTTCGTTGTCCGTATCTTGGTTTTCTTCAATCCATCAGATTCAGTCTGTTTTGCAGGGAATCGGTTTATTCACGGTGATTTTCAGGAAATCAGCAAAATATATCGATTTACTTTTATATAGTGAAAAAAAACATTAGAGGTATAATTAAAAGAAACTAACATACACATTAAGTTATAACACACATAATCGCATCACTGTATCCCATCATACGTTGCGAGGGGATAATACTGTTGTCTATTTCTAAAATATAAGTCTAATTTCTTTTGTTTCATGACAATTTTTTCAAAGTGCGTTAAATGTGTACATGGTGTAAAATTGTGATGTACAGTCTTAACGCACTTTGAAAAATTTTTTCAAAGTGCGTTGATTTGGTGCCAAATTCAACGCACTTTGAAAACATTTTTCAAAGTGCGTTAACCTGGTCCCAAAAATTAACGCACTTTGAAAAAAATTTTCAAAGTGCGTAATTTTTCAAAGTGCGTTGTAACAAACCAGCTGAATTTTGCTACTTGGACTTGAAATATACGTCGAGATAAGCGGGGTTGTCGAGATTACCGAAGTCGACATATCAGAGATTTTTTTAATCATTTATATAGGAAATACGGCCGGGACCGCGGACATACGTCGACATATCCCAGGTTGTTGACATATCCGATGTCGAGATACCGAAGTTTACCTGTATATTTATTATTATAACAGTAACTTGATCCAAAGGGTCGTATCACGTTGAGTTGACAGGCGCGGATCATCAGATCTAACAAGACATGAAGCGTCCAGTTTGATCTGATGATCCTGCCTGTCAACGAGATGTGATACGGCTCTTCGGATCAAGTGACTGTTATAATGATAAATTTATTATTTGTCATCTTACATGTTAACTCTACCGATTTATGCTGGAGTCTTCCGCTTTTTTGCTCCATCTCCCCCCTACCGATTTTATTTTTAAATCTATCTACAAAAATTTCGTCTAAAATATTTTCGGTTCGCTTGGGTATATCCATTTTTGAAGCCACTCGTCATGAAATCTCGTTTGATATCGCGTGATTTGACCCAGAATCATACAAAGAAACGCTTTTTTTGTACCGATGAGTACTTAGATTTCAAGCACCGCATTTGACAACGACAAAATCAACTTGATTACATTGGTTACGATAAAAAAAATTTCGTGGACATTACTGCCATGAAAAAGGAGATACAGCATTTAAATATAGGATGAAAAACTATCTATAAAAGACAGGAGCTCGCAATTTAATCAATATTTTAATAGAAATCATTCGATTTACCAAGCTATGAGGCACATCTCTACTTTCGTTTTCAATCATCGCTGGAAATCCGATTTATTTAATGAAAGATAGGGATTAGTTTTAAATCTAGATTAAACTTTGTCATCATTTTTTGTGTTTGACAACTGAATGAACATTCAGAATTATTGCTTCTTGGCTATATAAGCAAAGACCACTCTTCAAAAGGCTAAGTTAAGAAGCCAATCGTAGCAAAATGATGAACATAAAAATATTTGAATATGTATAATTTATTGTAATGTGCAACGCGGCCGAGCTTGGTGTGTGGTGATATGACTTGTATCACCGAGGCGTTACACTTAGGTTCACCTGTTAACTCATATTTTTGTTGACCAAAAAAAATATATACTTGTTAATACAATGGGTTTCTTCTTGATTGGACGACCACTAACTGTGGTCAACATTTGTCTCCCGCAATGAATTTCACTGGTCCTGCCACTCTAACCATACTGCTGGATCTTGGCACTTCCCCCACTTCTGTGGTATGCCACCTCTCTCTCCATCAACCTACTGCCTGATACAGGTCTTATGTATTTGCTAATATTGGTTACCCCTCACTGCTTATTCCCCCAAACTGTGTGCCTTATTCAGGTCTTATCACAAGTTCAAAAAATATAGACAGTCAAGCCTCAACAAGCCTGTCACCAGTTAGGCATCCTGAGTTCTGCAACACGGCATGTGTTACCTCAGTGCAGTCAGTCCCAGTACATAGGCAGCTACAAACTACTTAAGTGATTGTAAAATTAATATTTATACCCCACGCAACTAGTTGCGGGAGGTATAATGTTTTTGATCCGTCCGTATGTCAGTCAGTCAGTCAGTCCGTCAGTCAGTCCTCTTTTTTTGTCAGCGCAACTCCTCATAAACCGCTGGACAGAATTTCGTCAAACTTTGCAGGTATTTAGGACACAATGTGTAGATGTGCATATTACCAGGAAATTCCGATTCCATTATTTTTTCCGGGAATTTCCGCACTTTTTATCTTAGGCATTTGGCCATACCTTGAATATAGAGATGAACAGTTTGTCAGCGCAACTCCTCATAAACTGCTGGACAGAATTTCGTCAAACTTTGCAGGTATTTAGGAAACAATGTGTAGATGTGCATATTACCAGGAAATTCCGATTGCATTATTTTTCCGGGAATTTCCACACTTTCCAACTTAGACTTTTTGGCCATATTTAGAATATAGAGAAGACCAGTTTGTCAGCACCACTCCTCTTAAACTGTTGTACATAGTTTTTTTTTATCCCAAAGAGTTTTGCCTATTATTCAAGAAAATTTCTCCCCCCCCCCCAACCACTTCAAATTAATGTTTGGATTTGTATAATGCCAAGTAATTTTGATTCCATTATTTATCTAGAAACTTCATTCCACATTTAAATGTCCTCATATGTAAGACATTTTGATGTGAAGATTTTTTTGCAATTATTGCTCTTTTTGATCTATACTATGTATTTAAAGTGCACTGTGCCTTTCATTATGTGCTTCACCGTCAAGTTTTGGGGGAGCGTGGGGTATGTGAGCTAGCTCACTTTTTCTTTCATTTTTTAGTGTTTAAGAAATTAGACCAAAACATAGGTCTAATGTTTTTAGCTCTTCTGAGCCAAAGGCTCAAAGAGCTAATGCTATGGCCATTTGTGCGGTGTGCGTCGTGCGGTGTGCGTTAACTTTTTAGAATATGGGCCATAACTCAAGAACCCCTTGGCAAATCAGTGTCAAATTTGTCACAGGGCATCCTTGGCCCAAGGGCTACCATTTATACTAAAATAAGGGTTGGGACCCTAAAACAAGGGGAGATAATCAGAAAGTACTGGTTGCTAAAAAATCTTCTTCTCCAGAACCACCAGGCTGATTTTCACCAAACTTACATACAAGGATCAGGATATGTTGAAGATTAAAAATTGTTCAAGGCATGACCCTGGGGCAAAGGGCCTGGTCTCAAGGTCACTTTAAAGTTGACCTAAATTTACAATTAATGAAAATGTCTATATTTTGCTTACTATAAGGACTAGAATCATCAAATCTTGTAAGTTGATGCATCTTAGGACTTCACATCATGTTAACTCAAAAGTAGGTCACGATGACGTACTTTTTTAAATTTGCGGGTATTTGTTTTCAAATTGATTTGAAGGCATATTTTGGACACTTTAAGGCTTATGATCATCAAACTTAGTCAGATGATGCATCTTGGGCCCTTGAACAACGTAAACTTAAAAGTAGGTCACCATGACCTACTTTTTGAACTTTATGACCTATCCTTTTAAAAACATTTGATCTCATTATGCCCCCGTAACCGAAGTTTCGGGGGTATATAGTTTTTGTCGTGTCTGTCTGTCTCTCTGTTTGTCTGTTTGTCCGCAAAAACTTTAACCTTGCCCATAACTTTTGATTTAGTGGAGCTATGACTTTCATATTTCATATGTGTATTCCTTGTGACAAGACCTTTCTTTGAGTACCACCAAATTTGACTTTTTGACCCTGACCTTGGAGTTTGACCAACTTTTATATGAAAATTTTAAAATTTTAATTTGGCCATATCTTTTGAACAGTAGACACCAGGACATTTATACTTCACATAAGTAATGTTTGTTAAAAGACCTTTTATTGGATACCAACAACCTTGACCCTTTGACCTTGAACTTGTAGATTTTCGTACTTGTGAAAAACTTTAACCTTGGCCATAACTTTTGAACAGAAAGAGATAAGGCTTTTATACTTCATATATGTAATCCTTGTGAAAAGACCCTTCATTGGATATGAAGATATTGACCCTTTGACCTTGACCTCTGAGATTGACCTACTTTAAAAAAGCAAACTTGACCATAACTTTTATACTTTCATACTTTACATATTTGATCCTTATGACAAGACCTTTCATTTGATAACAATAACTTTGATGCTTTGACCTTGACCTTGGAGTTTGACCTACTTTTTAAGAAATTAAATGTTAACCATAACTTCTGAACGGTTAGGGCTAGGGTTTTCATGCTTTACATAAGTATTTTATGTGGCAAGACCTTTCATTTGATACTAATTACATTGACCTTTTGACCTTGACCTTGGAGATTTTTGTACTTATTAAAAACCTTTAACATTAGCTTACTTTCATATTTCACAATTGTTTTCCAGTGAAAATACCCTACTTTAGGTACCAATTAATTAAATTTGCATTTAATAAAAGCTTAATCTTTGCTATGTTGCCATACGGGGGCATCAGTGTTTTACAAACACATCTTGTTATTTCAGGCACTGAAAGGGTTAGAATCATCAAATTTTGTAAGTTGCTGCATCTTGGGACCTTAAAACATATTTAAGCAAAAGTAGGTCACTGTGACCTAATTTAAGAATTTTACAGGCATTTGTTTTCAAATTGTTTAAAAGGCATATTTTGATTACCTTCAAACCTACGATCATCAAACTTGGTCAGGCGATGCATCTTGGGACTCTGAAAAATGTCGACCAAAATGTAGGTCACGGTGACCTACTTTTGACATTTTATGGCTATATTTAAGTATCTTAGGTATTTATTGGCTTAGAATCATCAAACTTTGTGAGTTGATGCATTTTGGGTTTTCGGAGAGTGAAGACCAAAAATTAGGTCACAGTGACCTACTTTCGACATTTTACGGCTATATTTAAGTATCTCTGGTACTTATTGGCTTAGAATCATCAAACTTTGTCAGTTGATGCATCTTGGGTTTTCAGAGAATTTCGTCCAAAAAGTAGGTCATGGTGACCTACTTTTGAATATCTCAGTTATTTATTGGCTTAGAATTATCAAACTTGGTCAGCAGATGCATCTTGGGACTCTAAAAAATGTCAACCAAAATGTAGGTCACGATGACCTACATTTTATGGCTATATTTAAGTACCTGGTTTTTCCGCTACTTATTGGCTTAGAATCATCAGTCTTTGTCAGTTGTTGCATCTTGGGTTTTTCGGAGAATGTTGACCAAAAAGTAGGTCACGGTGACATTTTATGGCTATATTTAAGTATCTTAGGTATTTATCGGCTTAGAATTATAAAACTCTGTCAGTTGATGCATTTTGTGTTTTCAAGGAATGAAGACTAAAAAGTAGTCCTAATTGGCTAAGAATCATTAAACTTTGTCAGATGATGCAACCTGGGTTCGAATACTTAGGGTTAGAGGCTTCAAATACAAGTGATAGGTTGTATAATTTATCAGAAGAGCGATTCAAGGCCCTTGGGCCTCTTGTTTAAGAAACTAAATCACAAAACCAATTTCCGTTTCATTATGTTCAACTTAATGTGTTTCTGTCTTTTTCTTGGAAATAGATATTTAATATTAATAATCATATTTTCATGTAAAACCAAACTTGCATATTACATGCAATATATCTTCATAAATCCAAGCATAAAAAACAACACGCACAATGCTAAGTACTGCTTTCGTGGTCGGAATCTCCCTAATTTTCCTCACAATAGGTTAACATGCATGCCCCTCATAACTAATAGCAAAATATAGTTAAGAAAACTTTAACAATCAATTGTATATTCTACCACGATTATTGTAAATATGAAAGGAAACCGCCGGACATTATTCTCCAATAAATCACAAACTTCATCAAAACATTATCAGATCAGAAACACGTATCAAACCTTAACAATTCAAATGCATGTTTGGTTGTAGAATGAAATACTTGTTTAGACCGCATAGGCGTGTTGTCTTTTGCATTATAAACGCTGTAAATTGCATCAAGTTTTTGATGAATGTCGGTTTTTATAGCTAAGCGGGGCTATTCCACGGACCTCCCTACACATTAAACATGGTGATTTTAGCAGTAAACAGGAATAGATTTTGTTATTGTATATTCATTTTAACTGATCAATATTATAACGAAAATATTTGTAATTTAAAAATAATTTTTAATGTAACGAAAGCTCAAATCGTGTGCATTCTATACACAGGTAAGCAAACAAATTTTACCTCTGGTGTTAAATGAAACAGCGTAATCGAGAGATGGTGACCTAATTTGTTTCTCTATAGAGGTTCACAATTATCCTTAATTTATTGTTTGTACCATACATGGTAGAATAGAAATAAAGTCCTTGTTTCCGTGAATGATGCAGAATAACCTCCTCGGTCTCAAAATGTTATTGAAATATAAAAGCCTCGGCTTTTATTCTCCAAACAACATTTCTCGACCTCGGAGGTTATTCTGCAACATTCATGAAAATGCAGACTTTATTTCTAAAACATTTCTCCACAAAACAAAGAATAATAACAAGGGACTTTATAACGGGCAAGAAAAATAATGTCATGTTACAGCTGCGTACTACGCTATCAGTTTCAGAGAGTGGTGATATGGATTCAGAAAACCACAGTATGGTGATCTGGAAAGTCGGATCACGACGCCACGTGATAGCATAAAATCAACAGTAAAATTGAATGGTACACGTTAGGTATATAATAAATCAATATATTGTAATAATCCACTTCTCTTAAGATTACGGTTTCATTTCTTTAACACAATAACTTACAATTAGACTTTGTACGTCTAGATTTATTCTTTTGTTACTTTATTCTACTAGGACTGTTGTCATTCAAAATCGGAATACTGTGAAATCACATATTTTCGTGGTGTCAAAATTTCGTGGTTTGAGGAAAAAATCTTGGTTCGTAGGGATTTGATTTCGTGGATGTAGAATTGTTGAGTAGTAATGGTTATCACATTTTACATTTCGTGGTGGACATGAATTCGTGGGTCTCCTCACACCACGAAAACCACGAAAATTAAACCCCCACGAAAATTTGTGATTTCACAGTATATGAATTCTTTCAATTTACTACATAAATCATTTTACTTAAATCAGTTGCCTTAACTGTATTGCGTTTTCATTGTCAAAGTACCGGTCACAGTAGCCTAGTGGTAGAGCGTTCGCTTCGTGATCGGGAGGCCTGGGTTCGATTCTCGATCGCGGCGCCGCGTCATACCTAAGACATAAACAAAGGTAGTGACTATTCCTTCGCCAAGCGCTCGGCACTAGAAGTGAAAGTCACAGGTCTTTCGGATATGACCTTAAAAACGTAGGTCCCGTGTCATGGTAGGCGTTGGCAAGATAAGAACCCTCACTGCTCAATGGCCCTGAGTGCCGAGTATAGGTCTAAATTTGAAGCCCTTCACCGGCATCGGTGACGTCTCCATATGAGTGAAAAATTCTCAAGAGGGACGTTAAACAATATACAATCAATCAATCATTGTCAAAGTAAAGTGATGCTTTAGTTAACTGTAGTTAGGATAATATATTCAAATGCTGTTTTCAAGAAAACAATTTTTGATTTGAATAATTTTGTTGGGAAAGTTTTCAAAACATTAAGACATAACTTTTTATTTGTGAGAACTTTATTTTCACATAATTACGCGAGACAGTGTGCTCGTGAAATGTTCGTTTTCACCTATACGTGTATTGTTTTTTACTTTATTTATAGCAAAAACCATAATTCCTGAAAATTTTGTTTTGCTAATACTTCAAAAGATTAAAATAAATTTCTTGAAAGAGTAATCAAGGTGTCATGGAAATTAAGTGATGTTCAGAAAACAAAACCTAAAAAATGAAAAAGTTGTTGAAAGTAAAGGTACAACTTTCCACTGTTGTAAGTACAATCCAGAAGAACTACACCTACACACCTGTCTGTTTTATCCTTTTATGATTCTCTATTTGTTCTTTCAGACTACCTAAAGTTCTGGATAACTTCAATCAAGACATTTGGAGGCACTACGGCACCAATTTTTCTCGTTGTCACACACACAGAAAGAAAATCTACTGGCGTAAGTATTGGCTTTATTATGCTAACAGATCTATGTATTTCAATCTGAGCCTAAATTAGAAAAATAAAAATAAACTATACAACATTTGTTTGTTAATGTTTGACGTCCCTCTCTAGAATTTTTCATTCACTATTTCTGGCTCGCTGCCAAAGACTTTTTCTGATCCACTTTTGTTATTATCATCATTTATTTTTCCACATTTTTAGCTTTAAAAGAAATCTGCTGGTCCAGTTAAATCACACATGATAAGGTTTCCTGATCATATTTTGTCACTCGTCCGTCTACCTGTCTAGTTGTCCGTTTCTTGTCTAGTTGTCCATTTTTCTGTAAACTTTTCACATTTCCGACTTCCTTTTAGAACCACTGTGCAGTTATGATAAAGCTGTATGAAGGCTTAAAATGCCTTAAAATATTTTATTTAATTTATTTTGAGCTAGATTTTAATTTCAATATGTAATCCTTGCTTAAAATTGCAGATAATAGTTGAATCAGGTATAATTATGATGAAACATTTTATTGATCACTTGGGGACATTTATGATATTGTTTAATGTTACACAAAAGTCGTTTCAGCACAAGTTCAGAACAAAATTATTGTACAAAGTTTGTTATGCCCCGCCATGAATATGGCTTCATAAATGCTGATAGATATTGATGAGAGCTATGCAACTGCATCAACATTTTTTTTACCTTGACCTTTCTTTTAACCTTGACCTCACTTTTCTTAAATTAGTGTATAGCTCAGTTTTAAACATACCATTCAAGATGGTGTTATCAAACTTCACATGTTGATACAAACTTGCACGGATGATGCATCTAGGGATGAACACTACCAGACTTGCTTCGGATGCTAGATCTGACCTACATTTTTATTTCCTGGTAACTACCGTATATACTCGCCTATAAGTCGGTCCGCCTATAAGTCGGTTGTATTTAATAAGCTTAAAAATCAGAGGGACTGACTTCATATACTACCATTCATTTTATAGCTCGCCTGTAAGTCGGACATAGAGTTTTGGACCTGAAATTAACTCCCAAAAATCCGACTTATAGGCGAGTATACGGTATAAGCCCTATCTGAACCAAACTGATCAAATTTTATACACATACAAAGTTTCATGTTGCTTTACTAATATATCCTCGGCGGGGCATTCATGTCCTTTGGACATATTTCTAGTTATATAGATTAATTTATCGTGATCTCTGGTACATGAAAAGTGCTGGGGGCAGTTTAAATATTTACTTCTTCAGAAAATATTTTATGAGAAACCAACTAACCCGGAAGTATAAGAAAGGGTATTATTTTCCATTCTTTATCACAATTTATACAAAAATGGATAAATGACACACAATCCGCCAGCAAAATTCAGTTAAAGGAGATACTTCTCTTGTAGATTCATGCAGAATATCTTCAATTTATCCTTGTATCCTTGTGCCAGTCAAATATAAACACGACTCAAAAATTCTACCTGTGTCTAAGTACATGTAAGGGCAGCTCTTCACATATAATTCTTTGCAATAATTTGAATTTGCATATCTGACAAGCAAAAGGAATAGGGACAAGGCTTTTCCTGACTTGTTTTTGGGTCCGTTTACTGAAAAACTGGACAAAAAACCTAACGAATATGTGTCAAAACTCGACAGAAAAAACAACGTCGGCCGTCCGCACGGGACAGCATCCGATCAAAAAATTGTGTTTTAATACGGTTGAAACGACGTCAGAGACAAAAAATATGTGTTCAAAGAACTCAAAGATATTAGAATACATTTATTTTAATGATATGAGATAGGTACATACAATTTTTTAACGGTGCGTACAAATTCGAAGACACTACAAGGATTTGAAAACACGTTTTTTCACAAAATTTGATATTAATTTTCTGTTCATGACATTATAAATCTAGTGCAACATCGGACTTAACTGTGCAACCTGTGTATACAAATTGTTTACATTGATGACGCTCATAAATTATTATGTATTGTTTTGAAAATTGAAACTTATATAAATTGTAATCTATATGTAAAGATTATTTCTAGCACTTTGCTGTGTGACATTATAATAAAAATGTAGTGTCTGTCAAAGAACATGTATTAAAAATTCAATATCGAAATGTTTAATGTTATACTGAAATAAGCTTAACATCAGACTTGTCCGTGTGAACTATGTGCGACCTTTAAAGACCTTGATTTTTACAAAAATATAAAGTTTCAACAATAAAAATTCAATCTTTCAGGCTTGATTTTTAATAAGAAATATTTTGGTATACATTAAATACATGTATATAAAAACCATTTATTTAAAAAAAAAACGTCATTGTCCACGAACTTTTTGGACATTTATTTAAACCTTCGTATTCATGGCTTCGAGGGCAGCATACCAGAATATTTGCCCCGAGGTGACAGGAAAGCCGTGGAGTGTTAAGTTGCCCTTTGCCTGCGACTGCCTGTCCACCTAGCTATCCTTCTGTTCTGTAAACTTTTCACATTTTTGACTATCGATTTTCAAGAACTGCTGGTCCAATTTCAAACAAACTTGCCACAAAGCATTCTTGGGTGAAGGGAACTAAGTTTTTTTTCATATGAATGGCCACATCCTTATTCAAGGGGAGATAATTGGGAATTAGGGAAAATTTGGTGGCATGTTTTAAAAATCTTCTCAAGAACCACTGTGCGAAGAAAGATGAAACTTTTGAGGAACCATCCTCAGGTAGTGTAGGTTGAAATTTGTTCAAATCATGACCCCTGGGGGTGAGCCAGGGCCACAATGGCCAACCAAAGCTTTACATGGAAATATATAGTAAAATTCTTTAAAAATCTTCTTCTTAAGAATAACAAAGCCATGACTGATCATATTTATGTGGAAGTATCCTCAGGTAGTATAGAATCTGGGTCATAATGCTGTTGATTAATTTTCATGTTTCAAAATTTTGCGAATGACCACTACTTTGTTTTCATTTTCTTATTGTTGATTTATTTTTTGAAGAAAAATATTTTTGCAAATGCAATGAACTCTTTTAAAACAAGAGAATAACGAATTTGCTAAAAATTTATCTACAGCAAAAATTTCCAGATTTACGGTATCACTGCAGATGAATTATTGGTGCATATGATTTTTTTTTTAGCTCTACTGGTCAGAGACCAGAAGAGCTCATGCGATGATTAGGTCTCCGTCGTCCGTCCATCTAGCTGTCTAGCTGGCCGTCTGTCTGTGAATAATTTTTCAAAATGCTACTCCTCCTACAGTTTTGGTCTGATTTCAATATAACTTGGCACACAAGTAGACTACACTAAAATATTGTAAATAAACAAGTGCATCGGTTTTTAGCTCTACTGGTCAGAGACCAGAAGAGCTTATGCGATAGTAAGGTGTCCGTCGTCCGTCCGTCTGTCTGTCTGTCTGTCTGTCTGTCCGTCTGTCTGTAAACAATTTTTCAAAACGCTACTCCTCCTACAGTTTTTGTCTGATTTCAATATAACTTGGCACACAAGTAGACTACACTAAGATACATAAAATAGTGCATCGGTTTTTGATTTCGATGAACGGTGTTGCCATGGTTACTAAAAATAGAATTTTCTTTGAAATTCCTTTAAAACGCTACTCCTCCTACAGTTTTGGTCTGATTTCAATATTACTTGGCACACAAGTAGACTACACTAAGATACATGAAATACTGCATTGGTTTTTGATTTTGATGAACGGTGTTGCCATGGTTACTAAAAATAGAATTTTCTTTGAAATTTCTTTAAAACGCTACTCCTCCTACAGTTTTGGTCTGATTTCAGTATTACTTGGCACACAAGTAGACTACACTAAGATACATAAAATAGTGCATCGGTTTTTGATTTCGATGAATGGTGTTGCCATGGTTACTAAAAATAGAATTTTCTTTGAAATTCCTTTAAAACGCTACTCCTCCTACAGTTTTGATTTGATTTCAATATTACTCGGCACACAAGTAGACTACACTAAGATACATAAATTAGTTCATTGGTTTTTGATTTCGGTGAATGGTGTTGCCATGGTTACTAAAAATAGAATTTTCTTTGAAATTCCTTTAAAATGCTACTCCTTCTACAGTTTTGGTCTGATTTCAATATAACTTGGCACAGAAGTAGACTACACTAAGATACATTAAATAGTGCATCGGTGTTTGATTTCGATGAACGGTGTTGCCATGGTTACAAGAAATAGAATTTTCTGTGAAATTCCTTTAAAATGCTACTCCTTCTACAGTTTTGGTCTGATTTCAATATTACTTGGCACACAAGTAGACTACACTAAGATACATAATATAGTGCATTTGTTTTTGATTTTGGTGAATGGTGTTGCCATGGTTACTAAAAATAGAATTTTCTTTGAAATTCCTTTAAAATGCTACTCCTCCTACAGTTTTGATTTGATTTCACTATTACTTGGCACACAAGTAGATTACACTAAGATACATATAGAATAGTGCATTGGATTTTAATTTCGATGAACGATGTTGCCTTGGTTACTCAAAATTGAATGTTCTTTGAAATTCCTTTAAAACGCTAGTCATCCTACAGTTTTGGTCTGATGGCAATGGCTTCTTTTCTCATCCTTTGTTATAAGTACAAATCAGTAGAGCTACAGTCTCGACAGAGACTTCTGGTTGATTTCACTGAACAGTGTTGCCATGGTTACTAAAAATAAAAATTTCTCTGAAATTCTTTTAAAAGGCTTCCTCTCCTACAGTTTTTGTCTGATTTCAACAAAACTTGGCACACAAGTAGACTACACTAAGATAAATAAACTAGTGCATCGTTTTTGATTTTGCTGAATTATGTAGCCATGGTTGCTAACAATAGAAATCTCTGTGAAATTCCTTTAAAACGTTACTTCTCCTACACTTTTGGTCTGATTTCAATATAGCTTGGCACACAACTTCAAGTAGACTACACTAAGATACATAAACTAGTGCATCGGTTTTTTAATTTCACTGAACTGTTGCCATGGTTACTAAAAATAGAAATTTCTGTGAAATTTCTGTATAACGCTACTCCTTCTATTGTTGTGGTCTAATTTCAATATAATTTGGCACACAAGTAGACTACACTAAGGTACAGAAACCAGTGCATCGGTTTTTGATTTTGATGAACAGTGTTGCCTTGATTGCTGAATTAAAATAAAATTTATGTTAAATATTTTCAAAATGCTACTTTTCTCTTTCTTTGTTAAAAGTACAAACCAGTAGAGCTACAGTCTCGACAGAGACTTCAGGTTCAGTTAAAAAATAGCAATGTTTAGATTGCCAGTATATTTTTTTGGATGTTCTGTCATCAGTTTTTAGTATAATGTCCATGGACGTCTTGAACATACCATCGAGTCATGCATAATTCTTCAGCGTCATGCAAAGCTTTCAAAATTTGAAAATGGTGTCGTCATTAGGACTATTTCAACGTTTTTTTTCTAATGAGTTTCGTAAAATATCATTGTCAGACCAGTAGGGGTTACAGATAATGTTAATTTTGTCTTAAAATCAAAATATTTGGAAAAGGTGTTTGCAAATGATTGCATGAAATTAAAAAGCTGCGCAAAGTCACACACACTCAACTTAGACTCGGCCTTGTTAATCAAGAAGATTTTTTCATGAGAATGAAAAGTCATTTTTAAACAGGCAAGTCAATAGTTCTGGCTCTTAGGTCTCATGTTATGTTTTAATATATGACTTTATTTACCTTTTCAGGAAATAGACAAGTATTTTGAGGAGTTCTGGGAGGCCGTACCAGCTGAGGACAGGAATTGGTTAAAAGAATCTCTTAAAGACCGCATATATACAGTGGGTCTAGTTAAACTTAATGATAGCACGAAAAAAAATCTGGAGTCAATGACAAAGTCCATAGTTGAACTATTCACAAATGAGAATACAAAAATTGAGTTGCCTTCTTCATGGTCTTTAATGGAGCAGTTATTATATGAAGGAGCCTGGAAGGTTTTGCCCCTGAGTGAAATATGGAAGCTCAACTCATCTCTTCCCCATGAATACCAAATTAAAAATGGTGAAGAAATGTCTATGTTTTTAAAGTGTTTCCATGACAATGGCCTTCTTTTATATTATGATGAAGAGAAATTGAGGGAGCATACAGTACTTGACATTCAGTGGTTTGCTAAAGCTTTCAGCAAGATTATTGCTGATAAAAACCATATTAATGACGACTGCAAAACGATATTAATTACAGAATGGAAATCCTTTAACAAAACGGGGGAACTTAAAGATAAAGTGATAGATGCTCTATGGAAAGATGAATCCTCTTACCTGGAACACAAGAGGGAAATTATGTCGTACATGGAGAAGCTTCAAATGCTGGTACCTTTGGACTCTGTTGAGGCTGTACCAGAAGGCGACATGTCATGGTATGTGCCATGTATGAACAAAAAGCAGTTTAAAGCGGACTTCTGTGAAGAAAAATGGGAATGTTCCTCCATTTTATGCTTTCGGTTCACTTCTTTTGCCATGTTTGTGTTCTACAGACTGGTAGCATACTGCATGAGCTCTCTAAAATGGAGTGTTTCAAAAGACGAAGACAATGAAGGAAGTCCTTGTCTTTATCAAACAGCCGCAGTGTTTGATCACAATGAACACACGGTTGTTGTTGGTATATGCAATGATGATATCCAGTTGCAAGTATTGAGAATCACACCACTGATTTTAGACAAAGACGTATCAAATGACATTGGAGATTCTATTGAAAAAGCAATAAAGAAACTGACAGAAACATTTATTGGCACAAAAATATTCCACAAAGGATTCAAATGTCAAAACATTATTTGTCATGAAGAAGATTTATCTTTCACCCTTGCAGGTGATCTCTCTAAAATTAAAGGTGATAAAGAAATACAGTGCAAATGTCGACTACAGGAGAAACACGTCATAAATGTACAAAAGACCTTAAGTTTCTGGGAAAAGGTAATTTTAATCTTGTTAATGCCCTTTTCAAACTTAAACTAAAGGGGTATGGAAGAATCATCTTGTCTTTCTGTCTAGTGTTTGTCTGATCAGGAAATAATATTAAAGTTAAAGCAGGATAACCTCCAAAGTCAAGAAATGTTGTTTGAAAGATTAAAACAACATTTCGAAACCAAGGAGATTATCCTGCATCATTCACAACAACAGGGACTTCTTCTATTCCACTAAGAGCTAATCGTTTCATCTATAGGAAAACGAATTAGGTCACCAAGTCTCAAATATGCTATTACGTTATTTAACACCAGTAGGTAAATTTGTTCACATGCGTATGGAATGCAGACGATTTGGGCATTTAGAAAAGCTTTAATTTTATTATAAAGGGTGACTGCACTTAAGGAAACTAAGAAATTGGACAATTAATTTTAAAAATGATCATTTTTAGCTCACCTGAGCCGAAGGCTCAAGTGAGCTTTTCTGATCACATTTTGTCCATAGTCCGTCCGTCCGTCTGTCCGTCTGTAAACTTTTCACATTTCCGACTTCTTCTCAAGAACCAATGGGCCAATTTTAACCAAACTTGGTATAAAGCATCCTTTCCTTGGGTGAAGGGAAGTTTAAATTGTAAAGATGAAGGGCCAAAGCCCATTACAAGGGGAGATAATCAAGAAAAGACAAAAATAGGGTGGGGTCACTAAAAAATCTTCTCAAGAACCACTGGGCCAGGAAAACTGAAACTTATGTGGAAGCATCCTAGGGTAGTGAAGATATTAAATTGTTAAAATCATGACCCCCGGGGGTAGGGCAGGGCCACAATACTGAATCCAAGTTTTACATAGAAATATATAGAACAAATATTTAAAAATCTTCTTCTCAAGAACCACTGAGCCAGGAAAGCTGAAACTTATGTGGAAGCATCTTTGGGTAGTGTAGATATTAAATTGTTATAATCATGGCCCGCGGGGGTAGGGCGGGGCCACAATAGGGAATTCAATTTTTACATAGAAATATGTAGAACAAATCTTTAAAAATCTTTTTCTCAAGAACCACTGGGCCAGGAAAGCTGAACTTATGTGGAAGCATCCTTGGGTAGTGAAGATATTAAATTGTTAAAATCATGATCCCCGGGGGTAGGACGGGGCCACAATAGGGAATCGAAGTTTTACATAGAAATATGTAGAGCAAATCTTTAAAAATCTTCTTCTCAAGAACCACTGGGCCAGGAAAGCTGAAACTTATGTGGAAGCATTCTTGGGCAGTGTAGATATTAAATTGTTAAAATCATGACCCCTCGGGGGTAGGGCAGGGCCACAATAGGGAATTCCGAGTTTTACATAGAAAAATATAGAACAAATCTTTAAAAATCTTCTTCTCAAAAACCACTGGGCCTGGAAAGCTAAAACTAATGTGGAAGCATCCTTGGGTAATGTAGATATTAAATTGTTAAAATTATGACCCCCGGAGGTAGGGTAGGGCCACAATAGGGAATCCAAGTTTTACATCGAAATATGTAGAACAAATCTTTAAAAATCTTCTTCCCAAGAACCACTCGGCCAGGAAAGCTGAAACTTATGTGGAAGCATCCTTGGGTAGTGTAGATAGTAAATTATTAAAATCATGACACCTGGGGGTAGGGCGGGGCCACAATAGGGAATCCAATTTTTAGATAGAAATATGTAGAACAAATCTTTAAAAATCTTCTTCTCAAAAACCACTGGGCCAGAATAGCTGAAACTTATGTGGAAGCAGCCTGGGGTAGTGTAGATTCTAAATTGTTCAAATCATGACCCCCGGGGGTAGGGCGGGGCCACAATATGGAATCCAATTTTTACATAGAAATATATAGAACAAATCTTTAAAAATCTTCTTCTCAAGAACCACTGGGCCAGGAAAGCTGAAACTTATGTGGAAGCATCCTGGGGTAGTGTAGATATTAAATTGTTAAAATCAAGAACCCCGGGGGTAGGGCGGGGCCACAATAGGAAATCCAAGTTTATATAGAAATATATAGAACAACTCTTTAAAAATCTTCTCAAGAACTACTGGGCCAGGAAAGCTGAAATTTTTATGGAAGCATCCTTGGGTAGTGTAGATATTAAATTGTTAATATCATGACCCCCGGGGGTAGGGCGGGGCCACAATATGGAATCCAATTTTTACATAGAAATATGTAGAACAAATCTTTAAAAATCTTTTCCTCAAGAAGCACTGGGCCAGGAAAGCTGAAACTTATGTGGAAGTATCCTTGGGTAGTGTAGATTCTAAAATTTTAAAATCATAAAAGGGAAGAGGGTAGTTGGGCATGATAGGTATAGCAAGAGAGGGAATCTAGTTAAGAACTGCATCACCCAAATTACTCAAGTGAGCGATGTGGCCCATGGGCCTCTTGTTCTTTTAATGGTAGAAATGGCCAATGTCTCAACTGCAACTTTGTGTTAATACGTTAATAAAAAAGCCGTATTAATGAAGTTCGAAGTCTTTTTTAAAGGGAGGGGTCATCGCATATTCTGGAATCTCCATAGGATAATGAGTAGCCCACATTTTATAGGCTTAATACATAGTCAACGCATGTTTGTCCATTGTTCTCCTTTTTATGGTAGTTGTATATTTATATATATAGTAGTCAGGGTTTGACACATAGTGCAGTCGCCTCTGGCTCGTGCACCATGTGTCAAACCCTGACTACTATTTAGGCATAGTGCACGCAAAACACAACACTATTATATAAATCTTATTTTCAATCAAGGACAGATAAGTCTAATTTCCCGATATTTGCAGAGAGGTGGGGTAAGAAAACAGCAAATTATTTTATTGCAATGCAGTTTATAACCAATTCGACATCGCATATATGGAAATAGACCAAACTCTTTAACAAATGACTTAAGGCAAAAATAAAAACAAAAATAAATGTGACAACAGAGATTGAAAAAGACCCAAAAACCGGCATGAAGAGCAGTCATCCTTTAATATTTTTTAAATGTACAATCATTATGAAAAAATTACCTTTCTATTCTGTTATTATTTACTATTCTATATATATTCTATTTTTCGGTGTCCAATTGTGGTGTAGGGAGGTCCATGGAAAAGCCCCTCTTAGCTATAAAAACCTTCCTTCATCAGCTTCTTTATTCATTATAGAGTGTTTAGGTTTTGAAAGACGACTGATCAATATGGTCTTAATAGCAAATAAGTATTTAATTCTAGAGACAAATATTCATTTTAATTTCACAGTTTTGATACATGTTTCTGATCTGATAATTATGCCCCCCCCCCCCCTTTGAAGAAGGGAGGATATATTTCTTTGCTGCTTTCTGTCGGTGTGTTGGTCAGTCTGTCGGTCCACTTAGTTTCAGTTCATTTTCCTCACAACCCTTGCATTTGGTATACAGGTATATCAGATGAATATCTAGATCAAGTTCTGTTTTGGATACGATGGCGCCATTTTTGACAGAGTTAAGCACCTTGGACTTATAACAAAAAACCCTTGGACTTAAAAAATACTAATCATTTGCAGTTTCCGCTCAATTTCTTTGCAGAGGTTGCAAAAATACTGAAAATGAATTTTAGTATACAGATTTATCATATGAATATTTAGGTAGGGTTGGACACCGGTATTCGGTACCAGTACTGTACCGAATAGTTACTTCAAAAATACCGGTAAAATACCGTTTCATTTAATACCGGTACTGATAACGGTATTTCATAATCTTTAAAACATTGTTATAGATTTAATAAAATTATTTTTTGAAAAAGATTCCAGACTCGCTAAACTTGATTCTCTGTGCATTGAAAGGGTAGGCTAATTAACAAAATCAGTACTAAGGAAGATACTTCCTTTCTACAACCAATATTCGAGAAAAACCAACACGTATTAAAAAAATATTTACATTAATCTTGTTTCAGTTTTATTAATAGAAACTGATAAAAATTGTCAATTAAAAAGGGAAATCGTTGCGAATTTGTGATGTCATCTCTCTCTCCATTTCTCATGTTTCGTCGTTTAGTGATACCAAGCAAAATGGCGACCGGATGAAGCGATCAGCTGTCATTTAGCAGAGAATTAGACAACGGTGTTTCTTATATATTTTTTTATTTTATTGAGATTCAGATTAATTTGTTTTGTTCATCATTTAATAAAAGGTTGAATTATAGAAATAGAATATATTTAACTCATTTTAGATTATAACATTGAAAGTTTGGTTATAACATGTATAAGCGGTGATAATTGAAAGCATATTTGTCATTAAAATAAACCCGGATTCTCACTCATCAAGGTATAGTACCGTACCGTTAAAAATACTGTATCGTTTCAAAAATACCGGTATGGTATCATACCGTTTCATCCTTAACGGTATCCAACCCTATATTTAGGTCAAGTTCTGTTTTGGGTACAATCGCACCATATTTGTCTTTTGTCCAGTTATGCCCTTTGGACTTCAAAAAAATCCAATTTTGGGGGGAGGGGGCATGAGTGTTTTACAAACATCTCTTGGTTTTTGATAACGTCCGTGATTTATAGGAGAATAATGTCCAGGACATTTCTTTGATCTCGGCAATAATCGTGGTAGAATGTTCAATTATGCTCGATGTATACCCGGTAATTTTATAGATAAACATATAGCAGAAGAATGACTTGATATAATCATCATGACTCAATCATTTGACAAAAGATTATTTGGAATAGTGAATGACCCTCTTAGCTGCAGAACTGTAGATATGTGTGAGAGAAAATTCGGACATATAAAGCAGAGAGCTTCAGATTTAAAGCTGAACACGATTCGTAAAAGAAATCTGTCCCGAGTCTTGCTACTCTGCAGACACCTATAAATAGGGCAGGACGTAGTCACTGTTGAGTGTAATCAGTTGACACCGGTGTAGACGGATGTATGCTATACAGAACTCGGTAGCAAGACTAATAATGTAATACATCTTTTAATGCAAGAAAATAAGATACCAAATAAATTTCATATTATTGTTGTATAAGTCAGTGCAGTATACAAACAACACAGATAAAAGTAACTGCAATAAAATATTCATAAAGGTAATGCAAGATAACCAGCACGAACACGGATCACCATTCCTTGCCGATACCCGTGACAATAAAGCAGTCAGGTGTAACGAATGCGACATGTATACCCTTAAGTATTGATGTATCGTATAGAATACATGTAATACTATCGAAAATGGTGTATATCTATTTACGAGTCATGTTCAGCTTTAAGAGTTGTAAATATCTTCAATTTTTTGGTTGCTCACCTCGCGAATAAAGTCTTGTATTTTCAGATCTCCCCTTGAAGAATGTTATCCAATAATTTATCATGGTTTTCCTTCTCTTTCCCAAATTGCAATGTTACTGGAAAATGTAAAAAGCATAATAAAATTTTGAGTATACACTGTATAATAATAAAAATAAAATGTTTATCATAGGTACAACAAGAAGAGAATGTAAATGTAGAAGAATCCGGTCAAAGTATGTATCAGCATTGATGACTTTCACCATTTTATTTTTATTTTTTATGATTTTGATATTTTGAGGAAGGAGAACATTTAACTGAAATACAGATATCTCAAAAAGTAAGGAAAATTATTTGTGAAACCTTTTTTGATATCTTTTAATTTTAGCAACTGACTTGATTTTGAATGTGGTGTCCAGAAAACTTCATGGGATTCCATCCACCTTCATGCTTGCTCAAACTTTTGGAGTCCATATGAAAGAAACCGCCAATGTTGAAGAGGATAGATTTAGAATTCTCTATAAATGGAAATGCAAAAATTCAGCCCTGGATCACCTAAGAGAGTTGGAGAGAATTTTACGTGACGCTGGAGACGGAGAAGCAGCAGATTATGTTGGGACTTTTCAGGTGTCAGACTTTGAATGTAGTGATATCTCAATACCTGCACAGCCTGTTTCAGAGAGTGACTTGGATATGTTAAAGGAAAACCTTTCAAAGGACTACACTCATTTGGTGCGATTTTTAGGTCTGCCGCATGTATGTATAGAACAGCTCGAGGAAGACATACCATTTGTTAAAGAAAGGATACATAAATCTTTCTTGAAATTGAAAGAAAGGCATCCAAATTTAAGTCGTATGGACATATGTAGAGGTTTAAAGTTCATAGAACGAAGGGATGTCATTGATTTGCTGAATAAGCAATGGCAATTTAAATAGGACAAAAAAGATATGCAATAACATACGTGTATTATTCGGGATATTACATTTTGTAAGGACCCATTGCATACTTGTGTAGAGCATTCATAGAAATAATTACTAATTAAAAGTTATATCATATACATGTATATAAACATAAACTGGGTGGGACGCATGGTCCTTATGCCAGACCATCGACTCCCCAAGAAACTACTCTTACTTTGGTGAACTACTGGAAGGAAAGCCTACCCATGGTGCCCCCAAAAAGCGATTCAATGACAGTCTTAAGGCTTCTCTCAGGCATTCAGTATCAACCCTGATTATTGGGAAGTTGCAGCACAAGACAGGTGTGGGTGGAGAGCCGCAGTCCACGAGGGCACCAAGAGCTGTGAGGCCAACAGGACGTCTGCAGCAGAACAACGCAGGCAGGCCAGGAAAGGCAGCGCCAACGATCCGGCAGCTGCCACCATCCCCTACCCTCACTGTCCGAGACTATTCCGTGCGAGGATCAGCCAGACCAGTCACCTCTGCAACCACGGTCCAAATCAACCCCCTCCCCCACGAAGATGAGACAGTGGTCATCGTCACCATCGACAGAAAAACAACAGCCTGTATATAAACATTACACAAACACAATCACTGAAGTTGGTGTTGCAGAAACTCGCAATTTTTTTTTTCTAAATCAAGAATGACATTAAAATGCTCACGACGCATGTCAAGTAACAAGTTTCTCTAAATTACGATAAAGGTACGAAAATGACTTTATTGGGGTATGTTCAGTTGGCCTTATCAAAATATACTAATATATTATATTGAGCCAAAGGCTCAAGTGAGCTTTTCTGATCACATTTTGTCTGTCCGTCCGTCTAGCTGTCTGTCCGTCAGTCTGTCTGTCCGTCTGTAAACTTTTCACATTTTCGACTTCTTCTCAAGAACCACTATGCCAATTTTGACCAAACTTGGTACAAAGCATCTTTTGGTGAAGGGGAATTTAAATTGTAAAAATAAAGGGCCAAGTCCCCTCACAAGGGGAGATAATCAAGAAAAGACAAAAATAGGGTGGGGTCATTAAAAAATCTTCTCAAGAACCACTGGGCCAGAAAAGCTGAAACATATGGAAGCATCCTGGGATAGTGTGGATTCTAAATTATCAAAATCATGACCCCCAGGGGAAGGGCGGGGCCACGATGGGGAATCAAAGTTTTACATAAAATTAATTACTAGGAAAAATCTTTGAAAATCTTCTTCTCAAGAACCACCATTCATGTCCAGTTCACTTAATCAATTCGATATTGTCGACATCGCAATGTTGACAATGTTGATACGATATCGTATTAACATTGTAAACATTGTTATTATTTCTAAATGACAACATCGTCGACATCGCAATGTAAACAATGTTGATACGATATCGCGTTTACATCGTCTACATTGTTATCTTTGTACATGACGACATTGTCGACATCACAATGTTGATACGATATCGCGTTTACATTGTTAACATTGTTATTACTTCAACATGACGACATCGTCGACATCGCAATGTTGACAATGTTGATACGATATCGCGTTTACTTCGTCTACATTGTTAATATTTCTATATGACGACATCGTCGACATCGCAATGTAAACAATGTTGATACGATATCGCATTTCCATCGTCTACATTGTTATCATTTCTACATGACGACATCGTCGAAATCACAATGTAAACGATATTGATACGTTTTACACTTTAGACTTAAACCCCAACTCGACAAAATCGCACCCCACTTTATACAAAATAAGGTTATTCTCGCACCCCACTATATACAAAACAGTTTTAGTCTTGCACCCCATTCTATACAAAACAGGGTTAGTCTTGCACCCCACTCTATACAAAACAGGGTTAGCCTTGCACCCCACTCTATACAAAACAGGGTTAGTCTCGCACCTCATTCTATTCTAAACAAGGTTAGTCTCACACCCCACTCTATACAAATACACGACTCTACCAATTAAGTTAGGTCACACACACAACTCTACTAATTAGGGTTAGTCTCGCCCACAACTCTACTAATTAGGTTTAGTCTCGCACACAACTCTACTAATTAGGTTTAGTCTCGCACACAACTCTACTAATTAGGGTTAATCTCGCACACAACTCTATAATAATTAGGGTTAATCTCGCACACAACTATGCTTATTAATGTTAGTCTCGCACACAACTCTACTAAATAGGGTTAGTCTCACACACAACTATGTAATAATTAGGGTTAGTCTCGCACACAACTCTACTAATTAGGGTTAGTCTCGCACACAACTCTATAATAATTAGGGTTAGTCTCACACACAACTCTATAATAATTAGGGTTAGTCTTGCCATAATTCTTTAATAATTAGGATTAGTTTCACACAGATCTCTAATAATTAGGTTTTGTCTCGCACAAAATGTAATAATATTATGCGTCCACATGCGACTCGGTTTCAATAAGTCATTCAAATCCATAATAAAAGTATACACACTCCCTAAATAAATAACGTAACTGACTCAAAATAAATTAATTAAAATATTTTCCCGTACAATTTATCGTCGCTATATAAAGTTTAGTTCTGACGTCACGTTTACGCCGTCACGATAGCAACGATGTTAACAAGAAAAATAATTAGGGCAATGTTGACACGATGTCGACTCAATATCGTCCAACATTGCGATGTCGACGATGTGAACGATGTAAACAAAGATAAAAACAAGGCAATGTTGACACGATGTCGACTCAATATCGTCCAACATTGCGATGTCGACGATGTGAACGATGTAAACAAAGATAAAAACAAGGCAATGTTGACACAATGTCGACTCGATATCGACCAACATTGCAATGTCGACGATGTTAACGATGTAAACAAGAAAAATAAGTAGGGCAATGTTGACACGATGTCGACTCAATATCGTCCAACATTGCGATGTCGACGATGTGAACGATGTAAACAAAGATAAAAACAAGGCAATGTTGACACCATTGGACGATTTTGAGTCGAGATCGTGTCAACATTGCCCTACTTATTTTTCTTGTTTACAACGTTAACATCGTCGACATCACAATGTTGGTCGATAGCGAGTCGACATAATGTCGTTGCAATGTCGACGATGTGAACGATGTAAACAAAGATAAAAACAAGGCAATGTTGACACGATGTAGACTCGATATAGTCCAACATTGCGATGTCGACGATGTGAACGATGTAAACAAGATAAAAACAAGGCAATGTTAACAAGATGTTAACATAATATTGGTAAACGATGCAATATATACAGATATAAACAAAGGTATTACTGTCATATTGAATATGTTATGATATCAGAAGGACTAGTATTCTTACAACGATGTCGACAATATCGAAAAAACATCGTGTACTGGACATACCTCAGAACCACTGGGCCAGAAAAGTTGAAACTTATGTGGAAGCATTCTTGGGTTGTGTAGATTCTAGATTGTAAAAATTATGACCCCCGGGGGTAGGCGGGGCCACAATGGGGAATCAAAGTTTTACATAGAAATATACGGGAAAAATCTTTGAAAATCTTCTTCTCAAGAACCACGGGGCCAGAAAAGCTGAAACTTGTATGGAAGTATCCTGGTATAGTGTAGATTCTAGATTGTTTAAATTATGACCCCCGGGGAAGGGCGGGGCCAAAAGGGGAAATCAAAATTTTACATAGAAATACATAGGAAAAATCTTTGAAAATCTTCTACTCAAGAAACACTGGGCCAGAAAAGTTTAAACTTATGTGAAAGCATTCTTGGGTAGTTTAGATTTTAGATTGTAAAAATCATGACCCTCGGGGGAAGGGCAGGGCCACAATGGGGAATCAAAGTTTTACATAGAAATATATAGGAAAAATCTTTGAAAATCTTCTTCTTAAGAACCACTGGGCTAGAAAAGTTGAAAGTTATGTGGAAGCATTCTTGGGTAGTGTAGATTCTAAATTGTTCAAATCAAGACCCCGGGGGGAAGGACGATTGGTAATCAAAGTTTTACATAGAAATATATGGGAAAAATATTTGAAAATATTCTTCTCAAGAACCACTGGGCCAGAAAAGCTGAAACTTATGTGCACATGGAAGGATCCTGGGGTAGTGTAGATTTCAAAATGTCTTTATTTTGATCAGTGGGTAGGGTGGGGATCATTATGTATTACAAGTGGGAAATCTGGTAAAGAACAGAATGGTCAAAGCTTCTCAGGAGAGCGATGTGGCCCATGGGCCTCTTGTTTGAAAATATCATGCAAAGTTTTTCTTAACATAGAAAGCGACTGGGGACCTGTTGATGAACTTTGTCACTGTTGCCATATATTGCACGAGAAAAAATGGAACTATAAAAGTAACATTTAATGGCCAATGCACCTCACACAGTGTTTTAAAACGTGTATTTGTAAATGATGTGCGTGAATATTGTTCAATTTATATTATTTAAAATGCTCTCCCTCTCTCTCTTTCTCTAAATGGACATTTCAATGTTCTTTCATTATGCAACTTGGAACCATTCCAGCATTTAAACCCATTTTCTGGTATAGAAATATTCGAATAGTTCATCCGCTTTACCACTTGACCAGATTTGAGATTAAATTCTTATTTGTTATTTATACACACATTTTGAATTCCAGATGGATAATAATTTTAATTCATTTTTATTGCTTTCAAAAGTATGCCTTCAACAAAATTCGGAAATGACAATTTTTAAAAATCAATTTTGTGAAATTATGTGAAAATTTATTCTGTTTAAAGGACGCATTTCCCTCATAACAATGTGGTTTCCTTTATACGAAAATAGAAAAATAGGAATGTTTTGTCAAGGCCTTACGTTACACTTCATATAAGTGCCAGTTGGAAGTCGATATGCAGTTTCCAAGTATATATTGTTCTATATACTTTTGGTCTGATAAAAATGAATAAAAATGTATCGTTTACTGTAACTTGAATTTATTTCTTATAAATTGATACAGCCTGAGAGGAAAAAACCGCTTTATACTCTTTGTTTATTGTTTAGAATATTACATAAATTTGACAGGTTATTTTTTGATTTTAGATTTTAATTTTTTTAACTTGATTTATCATGTTACTAGATTTATCTGTACATACCTCTAATGGTTTGGATGTCCATGTTTACTCTGCTCCTATTGTATTGTTTTATGGACTTCAGTATTGTATGATGACAGTATCTGCATATCCATAATGCACAAACAACATTTGTAAATTAAATTTGGAATTCTAGAGCATATGTTTTTTGCTTTAAATTTTTGTGCACAATTATCATATTTTTTTGTTTCTTTCTAGTTTATTATTTGTAAATGAAAGTATTAATCCTTAAGATAGGTCACTTAAGTCTTTCAGTTGTCATCTCTCCTCCCCTTGTTTCTATAAACTTTTGCACTTTTTTTTACTTTTCTTTATAGTAATGTTATTATGGTGTTAAGATGATTCCTACACATAAGTTTATTTAATATGAAACCAGAAAAAAATATAACTAGATTTTTAGTATACAATTGAAATGTAAGCTTTCTTAGCTAATTTTTAGCTCTTCTGAGCCAAAGGCTCAAATAGCCAATGCTATGGCCATTTGTGCGGTGTGCATAAACTTTTTAGAATATGGGCTATAACCCTTTTTCCAATCAGTGTCAAAGTCACAGGGTAACCTTTGCCCGAGGGCTACCATTTATACTACAACAAGGGTTGAGACTTAAACAAGGGGAAATAGTCAGGAAAACAAAACCAAAAGTACTGGTTGCTAAAAAGTCTTCTCCAGAACCGCCAAGTAGATTTTCAC